GCTAAATCTGAAGCTCAAATCGCAAACACAGTGACAGCTCATAACCACTGTATTATATTTTTGATCAAAAATTCCACTGACCCAAACTTTTAGAGCCTCACACAAATGTAAACATACACATAACCAACTCAGTGGGATCTTCATGACCTTTCACCCAATTTCTAAAAATCAGATTTATATTATATTTAAAGCTCTCATTTCATAAATGCAAATTATTACAAGGTCATTACAAGGTTTCTCCATCCTTAAAGATGATGAAAGGAGAGATTAAAGATTTAAGAGACAAGTAGGTGTAACACCAGGCAAAATTACAGGTCAGATCTCAATGCATGTTTTAGCAATAGAAACACCTGGAATTTAATGAACGATAGATAAGAGTAAATGCTACACTGTGGAGCATTCCAGGCAACGCAACAGTATCATAATGGAGATAAGCAAGTGGCAGACCCTCCAACAAAACCAGCATCCCCTGTACCCACCATGACAACTTGCACACCCACTAAAATACAGGCTCACCTAACCAAAAGAACCCGCCTAATAACCCACAGAGCTGTGACAGCAGTGCAGAGGAGCACCAAAATAGCAACAGCTCCAGGACAGGGATGCAACAATAAAGTACTAGATTATTAGGATATAAATGTTGCCTCATTTACACAGATCTACACAATCTGCACAGACTTTCTGAAATGTACAGGACTGAGGTGATTCAGCAGGCCCTTAACAGCACTGCCCACATGTAGGATAAAGTATGGGCAGCACACATTGCACCACTGTGTGTTTGGAGGCCTGCTGCCTATATGGGCCCCAGTGTGTGTGCAATAGAGATCGGGTTTGTGCAGAAGTGACAGTGGGGGCTCACTCTGTCCACACAGCAGTAACACAAACCCCATTTAGCGCTTACCACTAACTAGTTAATAAATGTGAATGCCATACCAAAATACCACTAATATGTGCTAACCCTGAATGAATTGAACTGATATTTTATGCATCAGTTCACTAATGTAGAACCAAACGTGTGGGCTGTTTTACGGTTATTATTGAACTTGACAAGGTTTGTTTGCTGAATGAAGATGGAAACCCGACACCACTGACTCTGCACTGAGCCTTGTAAGCCAACACCTGAGCTCCATAATTAAACCACCAACAACTGTCCAATAAGTAAAACAGAAGACAACAGCCTGCTGAATGACTGGCACAATGACATGATAAGCCTTAAACATTTTCTCATCATGTTGCGACAATATTAAAACCAGCTGTTAAAATGATATGAATGTGTTTATTGTCTTGTCTAGTCCTACAGAAAGTTAAGTTATCGTTGTCAACAAAACTATGGATATTGGCGTAATAAAAGAAATGCCAGGCAGGATTTCAAAAACTGAGAGACATTAGGAATTTTTATTATGTTATTAAAGTGCATGCAGCTAGATTATTGGTCAAGGCAGGGGTTTCTATGGTTAGCTAAAGTTTGGAAAGAAGAGGTTACCTGATAAGTGGGTTAGTACAGCAGTCAAGACATGCTCAGCAAGATGATAGGCTTCTGCCACCCATTCATCGATGGCTTCTACCTCTCGGGCGTACGTGCTGTCATGGGCAGGGTTGGAGGAGGGGGAACATGGGGTCTGGGTATTTGAGGGACAAGGAGACTGTGTGTTGTGCTGTGTTGATGCAAGGCTGGGCTCTACTGTGTTGGGTTTAGCAGACTGAAGTGTTGGCTCCACCTCTTCTTCCTCTTGACTGCCTCCAAGTTCTTTAAGCGCACTAATTGTGAGCTTCTCTTGTTCAAGGTCCATAACTACAGACTGAGAAATCGGTTTGTCCATCTTGCTTGAGGTGGTATCATCCTCACCTTGAGTTTCTTCATCCTGTTTTGACTTTAGACACTCTCGCATAAACTGCACAAAACTGTCTGCTGGCTCTGTACTTGATACATCACTGCAGTCAGGGGCCTCCTTTGTCACCAATATTAGATCTTTTTCAGCATGTTGTGTTTCACTGTTCTGGTCTTTGATTTTATTGCAATTGTCATCTAGATTAATGTTCTGGGTTACATTATCAACATCTGGTTCACTGGTACTCTTTGGGGCAGTATAGAATATAGAATAAGGATCTTGTGGATATTTTTTCGAGACGGTATCCTGGGTGATAAAAGTGTTGTCATTCTGCGAGTTAAATGTGTCCCTAGCATTACTCTGAGTGCTGTTTTTCTCAGCATTGACATGGAAAGGGTTGGTGTAAGGCTGATCTATGGCCACATCTGGCTCACTGTCATCACCATCATCTGTAGGAGAAGGTGGTGCATCGTAATCATAATCAAAGGATTCCCTGTCATAGATCTCATCATGTAGAAAGCTGGTTTGGGGTTTGTGTGCTTCCAATGGAGTGTCTGTGATTTCTGTAATTGTTTCATCTGTTTTTGGCTTGGTGGATGCTGGATCAGATGTTGCATTGACAGGATTTGATACATCCATCGTTTGGTCACCCCACTCATCATCATGATCAGAAAAGTCTTCAGGATCATTATTTGGCAAATTACCAAAATCCCTGGATTGCACCTTGAAGTCATCTGCAGGTTGAGACCTTTGTGGTCCTTGAAGAGCCGCTTCATGAGATGGTTCTTGTTCCCTGTGTTCAGGAGAGTTATCCGTGTCAGACTCCACTGGTGAGGAGGGTGGAGAATACCCCTCTGTAAACTGGCTTTCAGAAATTATATCATCAGGACAAGGCTTATTTATATCTTGAGCCTTTTCAACATTTTGCTCTTCGACTTCCTCCAATTCCAGCTCCATTTCTTCGTCGCTGTAATTAGGCTCATCAGTCTCAATAACATTGATAGTTGGAACTTGCATAAGCTTCCTCTCAGATTTTGCAGGTGGAGTCTCTTTGTCGTCTTTGGGTAGATTAGAACAAATGGGTTTTTCAAATTCAGAAGAAGCTGGAGCATGAACAGGAACACCATCTTCTATCACAGTATCATCAGACTCCCCTGAGCTGTCCACTTCAACTGTTTCTGGTGGGTCTGGGTCACAGGTCATTTGGTTTTTCTCAATGTGCTCAGGCGAGGATACTGGAGCTGACCCCACAAGGGTATCAGGTGACATCGGAACCACAGCATCATCATTTTTTTCTTGTTGATTCCACATGTAGGCTGTAGGCAAGAAGCTAAGGTCAAAATCACACTCCTCCTCTGCATATGGATTCTGGGGAACAGGGACAGCTTCAAGATTTTCACCTTTAAGAGGAGAGTCCATGAAAGAATCTGGGACACCAGCAAAGGAGGCAGACCCACCAGGTGTGACATTTTCTTTTTCATGTGTGGAGTAAATGCTTTCTGAAACAGCAGGACTTTTTGTAATGTCATCTGAATGAAAGTCTGGCACTGGAGGTAAATGAGCCTTCATCCACTCTTCAGTTTCTTCAAGTTCCTTCAGCTGCTTACAGTCTCCAAGAACCTCAAATGGAGAGTCTGGGGATTCTTTATCTGAGGAGCTGCCTTTTTTCGGAGCTGTAGTTGTTTTCTCATTTTTCTCAAAAGCAGCTTTTTGAATCTCAATGGAAGAACGTTTGTCAGTGTGACGATCTCTATAATGTGAATAACCGTCACTTCGAAAATCAGGCTCCTTTTTCTTTGCAGCAAGTGCTTCCAGTGCTTTGATGCGCTCTGAAACAGGTGAGGTCTTTATTGGAGAGTCTGGTTGGTCCTCTGACTGACTGCTAAAATTTCCATGTGAGGAGGAAGTCGATTGTGTGAAGTGTAGTTCACTGTCAGACCCAAGAACCCTTTTGTCTGCATCAAGTGGGACAGTGAAGAGGAAAGAGGAGGAGGTCACAAATATAACATTCTATATCCATGCATCTTATTGTCATCTTTGTAGATCAAGCTTCATGCATTGCGGCATGACAAAAAATATGAATGACATACTTATTGATGCATGGCAACTTTTAATTCTTAAAACTAATATTTGGCATGGCAAGTCAAAATGAAGGCCAACTGGAAGCAGTAAATAAACATTTGGCTTAATAAATGTTCCGGTGGTGGCCAATAGGAGTCTGTGTGACTGTGTGCAGTCGATTCTTTTAGGTGCAGGACATTTTTCATTCAAACATGAGTGATACATTCCAGCAGTATTATTCTCAACTCTGCCTTCAAGTTAAGCTAAATACACAAATCAAAATAAATTTGTATAATAAAATGTTTATTTGATGTTAGTTCTAAATCATATAGTCCAGACTCCAGAGTAAGTGGCCCATGGCAAAAGTCTGAGGATGTTCTTAAAGCCACAGTTTCCAACATCACATGCTCTTTAGCTCTCTGCTCCAGTAGTCATGCTAAGCCTTCATGCTAGCAGCAAAGTGCTATATTAGGAAACTCACACCAACTGGAATAGTCAACCTGTTCCTTTACATTCCTTCACTAGGAAAGAAATGAATGTGTTTATCGATGGTGATCCTCTAATGTACAAAATTCTAGACTGGTGCTAAAGTGACTGCTCTACAATGCCCTGGATAGAGGCATCACCATTGCTACAATAAGGCTTTGTTATGGCTGAGCCACATGAATGGACTTCCAAACATTGTAGTAAAATTCCTGAACAACTCGAAATATGGCTGTGAGTGTTAAAGGAACCGCACAATCATCAAAACATATGGAGGGAGCTGTATAATCACCGCTGTGGGTTAAGTCAAAATTAACAGCCACACTTTGAAGTGTGCCTCTAGTCATAGACTGTGTGCCAAATGAGCAGCAGTTTTATGTAATCCATTTTCAGTCTGTGGTCATCCAAGTTATGCAATGGTGAATGAAAAGAGTGCTCTGTTTGCGCTATTCTGTTAGAAATATCATAGAAAAGACCCAAGACTAGCTTATTGTGCCTTTACTGTGTTCAAACTAAAATGGAAATGTTTCAATTCTACACCAACATGCCAAAAAAACGTAAATTTATAAACCATTCACAGCAACAAACAAAAGCTATGGTCCCCTAGTCAATTCATTGTTCGACTAATTATTTTATTGGGATGATGAGGATGTACTAGCAGAAAAAAGAAGGAACTGAGTGAGTGAGCTGGAGTTTTGGGAATGACAAGTCCATGTATGATTTTTTTTTTTTAACTTTATTTTTCTGTTTTGCATGGACGTTATTGCCCATGAGCATTTAACCTTTTGTGTGCATTTTAGATCAGATCATGGAGATACTATATAGTTTCACCATGCCTTGTCTCCTTTTTGTTTTTGCACAGGGCCTGTCTTTAGTCAACCAAGTAGGATCAAAACAGTAGTCCCCACAAAATGACATTGCTTTAGACAAAATCCTGACTCCTTTTCTTCTATCCACCACCTAACATGATTCAAAATGAATCTCAAGATGGATAAGCAAAACTGATCAAAGGAAACCTGATAAAGTCTATGCAGTGGCATGAAAACATGCAGAGCCTAAGGCTAAGGCAGGTTGTGGGTTGGGGGCAGCGAGCAGCCAAAAGCAAAGGCCATCCAAATCACTGATTGAAGATATTCTCCAGTGCCCCTCATTCTCTAAGGCAGTGGGGGGCTCCAATACTCGAGCAAGACAAGGGCAAAACCACCCCAGTGGGACATCGTTGTCATCCATTTTTAGATTCAGCTCGGATATGCATGCTGTGAACCTGAACTTCCCTGCTTTCTTAAAATAAAGTGGCAATCTTGGGATTATCTTGAACCTGGTGTAGCGCTGGTGACCTACATAATACTCACAGGCAGGAAAGGCTGACAGGGCTCTGACTGCATGAGCTCAGTCTCTGACTCTAAATGAATTGATTTGGTTTAACTAATGGAACAGTCAAAATTGACAGATTTTGCTCAGTAATTAGAGTTTGTATGATTACCATGCTGAAACAGTGCTGAATTTATTTAATTTCAATAGAATCGAATGGATAAAAACAGACTGCATATGTACAAAAGCTTTATAAAATTAAAAACATGATTATTTTATTGTGAAGAACATTATAAAACATGACAATATAGATTTAGACAATTAAAAGCAGGCCAGAGGTATACAAGTTAAAGGGTTAAGTGAAGGAACATATTTTTTGCGTAAGGTAGAGTAGAGTAAAAGCCATCATTATCATAACAAATTAGACAGCCAAACCTACAATTAGGGCTGTTACTGGCTGTAGGGAACAGATGGAGGAGCATCTGAGAGATTTGAAGGAACAGGGTTTAAGGGGTCGACTTTCCAGGTGTTGATCTTGGGCTGCTTGGTTGGGCATATTGTAATGCAAGCAGGTGAGGGGCACTAGAAATACAGGATGAAGAGAGCAAGCCAGCAAGAGTGAGATAAGAGGAGCAGGCGAGCAGCAGAAAGAACCAGACACTTGCCTTGAGGAGACTGAATGAGAGATACAGGCGAAGAGGAAAGAAAGGAATCTGAAAACATAAAAAAGGACACAAAAATGATCATCTCTTAACCTAGCACTTAAGACAAGACTTATCCAGCCTCTATAAAGTCAGCCACAACAACTGTGCACCAGAGAAGCATCATGCGTAACTATACAACTTATCCTAGTCTACACACAACAGCAGACGAATGTGAAAATGAATCAAATGAATCAACACAAAAGCTGTCATTTTAACAAACCTGTAGTTAAATTCATAATAACCAGGCTGATGTTGCTAAAATGATTTATTTAGATTTTTATTATATGTCTGTTTTTGGCTGCAGTTAAAGATCCACAGAGAATCTTTAGTAATCCTCAGTAAAAGTAAGATGTTTGAGAGCTTGAAAACTAGCTTAGAGCTAAAACATTTGACCCAGTGACCTTGGCAAGTGGCTGCACTGAGTCAGGTTTGAGAGAGGGGGGTGTGTCTGGAGAAGGGGGGGGGTGCGGTGCCTCTGCTCCGTGATCCTGAGTGGTACAGGCCGGGCAGGTTGGGGATGTCCCACCACATTCTTTGAATCACATTCACACAACTAACTCTACAAATGCCACACCTTTGCTCTTTGACCACAATAGAGATCCAACAACTTCTGTGCACATATGCCAGACGTTTTCATTTGAAAAATGTGGCATACAAGTAGTACAAGAAGTACCAGGTTTCAACTTTTTTAATAATCAGACATCATGGAGGATAAAACCTGTGTGATTTGCAAAACTCGTTTTACCACAAAACGGCACTGTTATTAAACATGAAAAGAGAACATATATTTTATGATTTCAAATAAAAAATAATCTTAATATAGAAATATGATCAATCAAAAAGCCTTTCTTTAACCAGTCAAAGATTATGTTAAAAATTCTGGAAACACAATAGAAATGAACAACTGACAAAACAGATCCAAACTAATTTGCAGCCCTACAATGCACTGCCCATAAACATAAAAAATGCCAAAAACATGTTGCAGCCTGGCATTGTTTCCAAGACAGCTGGTTTTAACCGGCCCAGACAAGTGCACATATAGTACTTAGATCAAGCTTTTTGGTTTTGGGATATTCTGTATGTGCCATAGATTTGTGTTGAGTCCATCACTGGCAGCTCTGTCTCTGGCCTTAGGGCGGAGTGCGATCAATGGTTGTGGTTGTGACAGTGGCATGGCCCATGAAAGCTTTACTCTGAGGATAACTGGCAGAGCCTCTGAGATGGAAGTGAGCTGACCAAAGATACAAAGAAACAACGCTGGATACATCATAATACATCATACATGAGCAGAACTTTACAAAGGTAAACAATAATGTGAAATGATTGTTGAATATTACATTATGACTTGCCAAATGGGGTGTCTGTGCTTTTGAAAAAACACATTTGGTATACTGTGCTGCAGAAAAAGGGATAAGACAGCCCACAGGAAGCTGACAGATTGTGGGATGTGAGGTTGAAGTTGATGCCTGCAGTCATGTAAAGGTTAATCTGCTCAGAACATTCCACCAAAGTGCAGACGTGAACAGCAGTGTTTGCCCCAACCTTGTGCTTTTCCTTTTGCACAAAAGTACAATGGGTAAATAGTCAGGGATCTTTTAAACATGGCCGACTTCCTGTAGAGATCTGTAACAACGTGGTTTGAGTAATGAGGTCCTCATTTTGAAGTGTGCCACTTCCTCTGTGACTCGTGTCACTTAGGAGAGTGTATCACAAATTAGGCCTAGTAAAAAGATGAGACAGAGGCAAACTATGATGGGCCATGTATTCACCACATTGAACTACTGCTGCAATGTTATCAGAGAAGAATTATAGAATTACAAATGTCACTTACTCTAGTACCAAATGACCATTTAACTCAACATACACACTTGGTCATTCCAGTGCAGAAAACTATCCAGTCATTATGTCTATTTTGATATGAGCCCTTTCTTTCTCTTTTCCAAAAATACAGATTGTCTAGCCCAACCTGGTAAAGTTAGTGGCCTTGAACATAACAAAGTTTACAAAAATAAAAATGTCCTTGTGTTCTTCACAACTGTTTAAGCCCTGGTCTGGATCAGCAGTGGTGTGATAATGCTTGTGTGCTGCAGCTGCCCTGTCCGTACAAGTGGATCTGATTACACTGGGGGTCAGGTCGCGGGGCTCAGCAGCAGTTTTGTGCTGCACTGAACATAATACCAGAGATCCAGTTCAAAATAAAGGTTCATTTAACAACACTATAAAAGGGCACACATCCAACCGGCCTGTCATCTTGAAATGGTTTATTTTTCAGAAAATGTAGCACAAAAATTCTATTATTTTCCAATAAAATGCAAGCCAAGTAACAATGAACTGAATAACTTTTGAATCCTAAAATTTATCTAGTAGTTTGGCATGTGAACAATTTAGCTTTTTGGTGACTCAGCAGGGCTCCCATGAGCTGAGCAGATCGAATGCCTGTTATCTGTCATGGGATGTTTCAAGTGACACATTGTTTTTGTCAAATGACAGTTGGCTGCAAGGCAATATGTTAAGCTTAAGAAGCAACGTCTCCCACTGTGTACATCTTCTGTGAGTGAGAGCTTGTATTTATTTAAGTTTAAAAACAAGACTAACATTAACTATCATTCTAAAGTGGTCTGGTGAGAGTCCAATCTACATTTTAATGACTGACTGCCATTTATTAACAATATACCTCCTAATTTCTAAAAAGAGACTCTATTCTACTACGAATGTCAAATCTATACCAGTGCATTTTTGTCTCACAGTGCAACATGAAACTTAACATCAGATTAACATTCTCTGACCAACGCAGCATCAGGACCATGTGCATTTTCTTCAAAACATACAATCCTTTTCATCTCAAATGCCTGGTGGATCAACAACAATCTATCGAGTTCAGATGGGGTCCAACAACATAGTCTGATGCTGGAGATGCCACTCCCTGCCTGTAACACAATAAGCTGTCAAGAGGCCCTGCTAGCATCAGTCTGGCACCTCCCTTTGTTAGCAATGCACCTGTCTGCATGGATGATGGCTGCTAAAATTACTCTGGTATTCATCGGTAATGCTAAAGGGAAATAAACGAGGAATAATGTTGATTCTGTGTAAGCTTTTGTTCAGGGAGGAGGTGGCACCATGTTCAAAACACCAACACAAACGGGCAGTGCGCCTTTAAGAGGTCCTCCCTGTGTTGGCTTCAGCCCAGGAACAATATATCTGCAGTGCTGCGCCGTAACATTTCGTTCTTATAATTATTTTTCTATTCAGTTGCCACAGATAATAATTTATTATGCTTCAAATGTTTGCCAACTACATTTATTTTGTCAATCATAATGCGTTAAGACCATATAGCCTAACAACCAGACAAGCCTAGATTTCCCTTACATTTTGTAAACACTGGCCATTATGTATTTATTTATTATGCAAGGTATTTGGATTTTAACAGTGTTTTCAGGCAACATATAGCTCTGTGGTACAACGAGGCGCAAGGGTTGAATGTTTAATCGCCGCTGTTGTTATAGACTTTTTATATGAGAATTATAAATAAGAGGACTTCTACAGTGTTATGTATTGGTCAGCTTTGGTCAGCATTGGTCAGACCAAGACTCGCAGGACAGTCTGTCCGCATGTCACCCACCACAGGTGTTTCCTATATTGGCTAAAATGAGCTTAACCAACATGAGTAGCCTACAGGCCAGCAGTAAAAGAAATACATGAATATTTAGATCCAAAGGGCAGCCAGTGGTCCTTTACCTGGCAATGTGGCATGAAAGCAATTTAAGGTACGTGGGGCTCTAAATATTTTACATAGTTATTTCTTACCGGATATCTTTGAGTCTTTGGCAGCAGAATTGTGTCCATCGGCAAACCCCTGCGACGAAGATATCTGGGCGGATTGAGTCATCGGGTCCATTTTACTGAAGCTTCAAACCAACTGCACAGAAGCCGTGAAATGTTTTTGATCTTATTTTTGTGTTAAGTGTCCGTTGAACGTTATAACTCGACCTACTTTCCTAAAATTTCCCCAAGAGCGGGACTTGGCTCCGCACCTACACGCACAGTCCGAGCACTGAGAGAGCGCGGAGATGGAGGGAACAAGGCGCACTTTGGAGGAGGGGAAAACATGTCGGCTGGGAGGCGTTTACTGTCTCCTCTAGAGTCAGAAACGAGCCAACTGTGTACAAGTACAACGTGTGCTGGATTTATTTGTGCTCACTTTGCTGATACTGCTCATAAACTTAGTTCATTAAACTTAATCCTATTAATTTGCGCTATTATGTGTGGGGTTTGTTATTTAATAACTAAGCATAAGCTTTACTTTCAACAGAACAGATAACACGCATAGGAATATTCCTGAAGCCAAACAGAAATATACTTACATTACAACATTATTACATTTCATGAACACTAAATTACTTTTAGACAGTATAACTAAGAAAAATCTACCGTCTTCTCATCGCGTATACGAGTAAGACTCCATTTTATAACCTCTGAAATATGTAGTATAATAGTGTTTGTTTTATTAAGTAAGATTTACCTTTGTTCTATCGTCTACCTGTATGCAGCTGAGCAGCGCCCTCTGTCGGTAGTCGTTGTGAGGAAATATACTGTGAACTACAAGTCCCTGCATGCAACTGCAGAATGTGGGCGGTAAAATGCGTGACTTATAAGTGACTGGATGTGGTCAAAAGGCCTGGCAGTACAAAGCCGTTGACGCAGCAGATGATTGTTAGATCTGCATTGTGACGGAAACTTGGGGGCTCGTAGCGTACGTCAAAAGAGTCTCTGGCAGACTGAACTGCGCGGCAAAAGAAGGGGAAACAAACAAAAACATGTGGTTGAGGATGTGAATAAACGGGTATGTAATTTTATATTTAGAAGCCAAATCCGGTGCCGATAATAGCTCACGGGTTTGCCTTAAACCTGAATATCATAATATGATTTTTGTAAAGATGCTCGTTTGAAGCGCCGATCCTAAAGAGATGTGTTGAGCTAACTAGCACTCCGTTAGCTTATTAGCGGCAGCTGATACTAGCCTCCATTCAATGTACTATTTAGTCTTTTCAGCGCGTTTCCTACAGCTCTAACATCTCGCTTTTGCTTCCTCTCGCTTGTTAACTCAGATTAGCATTTATGAATCTATGTAAGACCTTTCTTTGGGCGAAGATAATGCAACAATTTAATTAATTTATAATATATAAGACACAAATATTATATATTAACATTTCAAAATTACGCAAAATTGGTTGGATCGTAAGTGTAATTATGTAGTTTGAGTTCTTAGTATGTGTGAATAAAGCCTTGGTTAACGTAGACTGTGAATGTACGCAGTCAGCTATAGAGGTGCCCCGCCCACCTCAGCGCCATAGAACTAACCTAAGCCCTATGTACAAAGCATTGATGTAACCATTACGCAACCAGGCTGCTCTCTGTCTGGGTCAACGTTCACTTGTTCAAAATTCAGTCTGACACTTAAAAAGGCCAATTAAACCAAAATCCAACAAACTTTGTGTGACGAAAGTCTGGCAAATTGATGTCTACTACTATAGAATAACTTACTTGTACAACTTATGCACATACCTCTGTAATTACACAGGGTGTATTTTATTTTCTGTATCATAATTTCTATATTACTAATCTATAATAATAATACTATAATAATTACTTTGTATTAATTGCTACAGTTATATCTAAAAACATATTTTTGGGAAATATGATGTCATGTATTGTACCTTATCTGTGTCATGATTTTGAATAAATGGGTGTTCGGAGAGTTGTGGGGCAGAGTAGGCCAGAGCGTAGCCAGGGGCAGGCAGTCCCCAACTCTCCTTGCACAAGTATTACTTTTAACCGTCTCGTTTTGGTGTGTCTTATTTAATGTAATTTGATGTCTTAGGGTAAATTCCCTGACACTAATCTATAATAATAATACTATAATAATTACTTTGTATTAATTGCTACAGTTATATCTAAAAACATATTTTTGGGAAATATAAAGATTTTGAATAAATATTAATAAAATAGGTTTGCCTTTTCACAGGTGAGGATTGCCACGCTCTTTGAGACTTGTGTGACAGACAGCAAATATGGGATTGCACTCAGCCCAAAAAAAGCATTTCCCCCTGCGTGGGATTGATGGAGTGGTCCAATTATTTGAGTATGAGCTCTCGAGGCCTGAGCCGGACCTGGCCCTCCTTTCTCTGGTCTTGGGTTTTGTAGAGCACTTCTTGGCTGTGAACAGAGTTATTCCTATAAATGTACCTGGAGTTCGCTTTGAGCCACTAGAGCCGGATTGCCCCAGCTCGTGCTTCCCAACAGTGGAGCTGGGAATGATCTCTGCTCTGTATGAGCGCTTCACTGCACAGATCCGGGGAGCTGTGGACCTGTCTCAGTATCGGAGGACCGCAGCTGGCTCCAGCAGAGAACTGGTCAAAAAAGTGTCAGATGTCATCTGGAACAGTCTAAGTCGATCATATTTTAAAGACAGGGCCCACATTCAGTCACTCTTCAGTCTCATCACTGGTAAGAATACTTATTTATATCAGCTGCTTTCAAAATGTGTAATCTTTTATTGTTTAATTTAAACCAGGTACCAAACTGGACAGCTCTGGTGTAGCATTTGCTGTGGTGGCAGCGTGTCAGGTCCTAGGTCTGAAGGATGTCCATTTGGCCTTGTCTGAAGATCACGCATGGGTGATTTTTGGGAAGAACGGTGAGGAGACTGCAGAGGTGACATGGCATGGAAAGGGAAACGAAGACCGAAGAGGGCAAACTGTAACAGCAGGAGTCAATGAGAAGGTAACGTCTCAAATGCTGATGGAGGTTTACGTGTCATGCAATACATCTAACAACCTGTGCTTTTGGCACAGAGCTGGTTATACTTAAAGGGCTCCTATATGAAATGTGATCGAAATATGGAGGTGGCCTTTATGGTTTGTGCCATTAACCCTTCACTGGACCTGCACACAGACAGCTCCGAGCTGCTCCGACTACAACAGGTAAACATTTCATCTGGTGTAATAAATATAGTGAAAATAACACTAATACATAGTGGAACAAGCAATGTACACAATCAGAAGCTTGTTGCTAAATATTCGTTACAGTCACTTTTCTTTCATGTGTATTTCTAATTAAACAACTGTACTTTTTTCCACAGAAACTCCTCTGGCTGCTGTACGATAGAGGTGACTTAGACAGGTAAGCTGCAAAGCTACGAGCTAAGATCTGTGTGAATGCTTATGTGTTGTATTATCATTTGAAATTGGGTGTTTAGATATCCAATGGCCATGGGTACACTGGCAGACCTTGAAGACCAGGACCCCATCCCAGGAAAGGAGAACCCACTGAATATTCACCTTAAGGTACACCACACCACAGCGCTGGTTAAAGGGCTTACACTAAGTATGAGATATGAGAAATAAAGACTGGACTTGTTTGTGTGTTTTCAAGGCTGTGAGTTCTTCCCAGAAGCACTATAACAACGAGCACATTTACCCGTACATGTACTTGGCCGGGTTCCACTACAGACACAGAAATGTACGCGAGGCTTTGAAGGCTTGGGCTGAAGCGGCCCAGGTCATGCAGGAGTGAGTCACTGCCCTTTTCACAACTTCAAATGAAGGCTTTGAACATTGGCTAAAATAAATATATGCTCTGCCATTTTAAATAAACTTTGAGAAACTGAAACTTACCCTTGCATTTCAAGATAATTTAGAAAAGAATGGAAAAAAAAAACTTTTCCACAAACTTTGAAATGGCTGCGTTGTGACATCAATGCTATCATTATTTGTGCTAATAATTCTGTATAAAAGCAAAATTCCCTCTTGCAATTTGTGAACATAGTAAAAGTAAATGAAGATCATTAGCAATCTTAAGTAGCTCTTGAATGTGCATTGTTTTTATTTATGTGGCGCAACAGAGCTGTCTTAGTAGCTTTAATAATTTTCCTTATTAAAACCAGAAATAACGTACACTTACAATATACAACTTACTGACACCAGGTGGCAGTATTTGCTCATTAATTTCATTTTCTAACAGATAAACTTTCACCAGTAATTTAAATTAAATCACTGAGTGACATATTTTTCGAGTGAATAATTTAGTTTTTAATTCTGTTTGGGACTCGAGACTTTTATTAGTATTTGCTTGTGTGGTGCCAGGGAAACTGTCCAGCATGGCAATCCCCTACACCAGTTTATTTGCTCCCCCTCCCTTTTAAACACAATGTCCATGAACAAGACTAAAAATATAATTGTCTCACCAAAAGACACATTCCCTCCATAGTTAGGAGTTTCCTTTTCCTGCCCCCTCCGGTTCAGCTTCTACAAAATCTGCCTTTCATGGTGGACTTGCGTAACCTACCCAGATTCCTGTGTTTTGTATTGATCGTCAAACATTACATTCCGTGACAACACTTAACAATAACTACACTTTTAATTAGCCACGAAGCATGGAGAATGACTTAATTCATAAAGAATACATTTATTAATTCTATTTATCAACAATTATTCAGGCATGGGTACGTAACGCCTTACCCTTTCAGCCAAATTTAAACTAATCCACATTTGTTTCTACTCATCTCACACCTAAAGTAATGATGCTGCTGCTTCCGACCATTATTCAGTCATTAATCAGCGACCCGTTCTCTCTCGCAGCTATAACTATTTCCGAGAAGATGAGGAAATCTATAAAGAGTTCTTTGACATCGCCAATGACGTCATCCCCAACCTGCTCAAGGAGACGGCGGCTGCGTCTGAGACCACCGGGGAGGGAGCTGAAGGGGGAGAGGGAGCAGACAAGGTACGAGGGGAACAAAACCAAGAAATATACAATAAATTAATCTATATAAAACTGTACTACCATGAACTAATATGCACAATTTTAACAATATGTATTATTTTTACTTTATTTATTTAAACTGCCAATCTGTTTACTTTCATTCAACATTATTTTCTGTGTCCTCCCTCAGGAGAAGCAGGAAACAGCCCTGCAGGACTCTGAATGCTTTGCTCACCTGCTGCGGTTCTATGATGGAATCTGTAAATGGGAGGAGGGCAGCCCCACACCGGTCCTTCATGTGGGCTGGGCTACTTACCTGGTGCAGAGTCTCAGCCGCTTTGAAGCTCAGGTGACTAGAATAATTTTGAGAAACCATAAATATGCAGGTCATATCCAAAAAGAAAGGAGGAAGGATAACAGAGGTCATGGAAAAACGCCCTTCCTATCAACTGGAAAGTTCATAAGCCCTTTGACTGTGACAGTTTCACATTTACAGTTTTATCTGTGTGATACCAGTTGAATACGTCATCAACATCTTTCAAATAAGATAAATAGTTGTATATATTAAACGTAGCAATAAAATATGAGTAATTAGTGAATCCACATGTCAACATGGTATAAATGATTAAAATGTATTGCAGTCTTCAGGAGTGCCAGATGATGCTGCCTAACCAGTATTGTTGCCAGGGGAAATGTAATTAGCTTTAGTGCAGGTCTGACTCAGCTGTTTTCCAACTTGCAGAAACTCCACTGGCTATTTGTTTTTGCTGATATTTTTGTAGTGGAATTTTCTTGACTTGTATACCGTATATTGTATATGTGTTGATTCCACTAACATTTTTTCTTTATAGGTGCGTCAGAAAGTGTCCATTGTGACAAAAGAGCTGGAGTCCCAGGATGACGATGACCAATCCAGTGACAACCCCGGTGAGGGTCGCAGACGAGTCCCCAGAAGAGAGACAAAACTGGATGAACCTGGAGCCTCCCCTCCACCCGCTCCTCCCACCTCCCCCCCAGCCCCACCTGCTCAAACAGTCCAGCCCAAAAAGGTGGGCGAGGGAGGGGGTCGGCGGCGCTCCTCCCAAGGCGTCCGGTCAGGGGACAATGAAGGAAAGCCCAAGTCCCCCAGCCCCGAGCCTGCTCTCTCACCCCCACAACCGCCACAACAGCAGCAGCAGCAGATACCCCCCAGCTCCTCACCTGGGCCAGTTGTCGTATTCCAGAGCGAGAAGATGAAGGGCATGAAGGAGCTGCTGTGCGCTGCCAAAGTGAACTCCAGCGCCATCAAGCTGCAGCTCACAGCACAGTCCCAGGTCCAGATGAAAAGACAGAAGAGCACCCCTCCAGGGGACTACTCCATGTCCTTCCTCAAACGCCAGCGCAAATCTCTGTAGACTTGTACTGTGAACTCTAGAAACGTCTGACACTGTTTCTGAACCTTTTATCAGTGTTTTCATTCAACATTTTGGTCAATATTCTACTTTCTAGCAATAGATCAGCATATCAACTCTCATTTTTGTTCCACAGTGGCCAGGGATTAGTCTTCCTGGACATCTGCCTCATTTTCTAGCTGTCGCAGTAGTTAGGGCTGCACAATATTAAACATTTAAAATAATAATTTTCAATAATTGCATTGAATTTGCAACTAATGTTTACATAATTTATGTTTTTTCTTGTCGTTTAGCAAATTTGTGCCATGCAAAATTTAACGTTAAATGTTCTGTGCTATTTAAACACTTTTATAAATACAATTTGACTAGATTAAATGATGGAGTAGTAAATATTTGATTAATATTTTGACTTTTTGGTAGGAATAGTAATGGCTCCAAATGTAATTTAACACAGAAGATTTTCTTTGCGAGACTTGGCAATGTAGTACTTTTGAGCTCTATTGTGCAGCCCTAGTAGTTGTAATAGTGGTAATAGTGATAGTTTATTTAATTGGCAGCCAATTGCACAGCTCTCAGTTTTTGTTCTATTCCATGTGTCTGAAGTAAAGTTGAAGTGATGAGGACAGCCAGCATTCTCCTGTCAGTTGTGTAAATATCAGTTTGTACTGACTTGTGGACAACTGAAGCCTTGGAAGTGATTGATTTAGATTAGTTACTGTGTAACATTGCCCACTTCTGTCTACAGCTTCTTTCTGCTATAGCTCTATGTTGCCTTACTTCACATTTGTTATTTTATTAAGTAGGTGGCCTCTAGTTTTGACAATTGCTAGTTTGGCCTGTTTCTAACGATGAAGAGAAGAAATTGAAAGACCATGCACTGTTGAAAAGAGGGCACAATAGGTGGTCCTTCAAGACTCGCTCCATGACTTGTTTTTGTATCTGCAAGAAATAAAAGTCTGATTAAATAACACGCTTTTGTGCCTGCATATTGTCTACGGTGGATCATTTCAAGCATATTTTGTTTAAAGATCACTTCTTTTAGGTTTCCTCTTCTCACCAACACAATAGAATTTGATATACAAGAAGCAAGGTACAATAGCTTGATTCTGCTGCATGGAGCACTCGGCATTAAGGAGACTGCACAAGGAAAAACTACTGAAACCCTAGTCACACTTTGGAATTTTTGCAATGCGACTGAAACAAGGACATAGATCAGTGACAGCCAGGCTCTGCACTCTCTGGGAGTGGCTCATTTGGATTTAAAGTGAACCAGGAAATTAGGCCTAATTATCAGAAGGGGAAAAAAAAGAATATTTTAGTTGCAACTACAGTTTGAATGAGTGGTTTTGAGGTTTGACCAGACGTCTCTGTTTACCCGGGACAGTCCCAGTTTTGAGTTCTGTGTCCCCTGTCCTAGCAGATTTATACAAAACAAGTGATTTGTTTCAGTTTTATGCAAAAGATGTCCCATTTGGACCTATTTTTGACTTAAACTAGGACTAAAATAACATTAAATTAGTTCTAAACTATGACTGGCACAAGAAAGCACAATCTTAAACCTTCTTTTCACAATTTTATTTCTGCCAAACATCCCAGTCCAGGTGTGTCCCAGTTTTGAAATGTGAAAATCTGGTCTCCCTATCCATCTGCACCACTTTTTCAATACATTACCGTGCATTCTTTGAATCCTGTACAGAAATAAGTAGTTTTAGTGAGTAGAAAAATGCGACAGTCTCCTGGAGCCCGAGGCCATTGTTGTATTGTTCCCTTCACCTGCAGCCAAACCAGCGCACTGATAGATGGACACATTTTTTACAGTGTGGGAGGTGTTTGCTCATGCGTATTGGACTCCAGCGCCAGTTCGGACTGTTTGCACCTCTGGGTTGTAGTGCGTGCTTCTGTTGTCGTCGCGTGGAGTGCGGTGCCTCTGTGCGTGAACAGCGTGTGCCCTCACGGCTGATCGATACGGAGCCTTTTCACGAGCCTTATTTTCCCCACCAGTACTGCCCCCCTCTTGGTCAGACCCAGCGTTCGCCTCCAGGTCACAACAACAGCTGGGATGTACGAGTGAAGAGACCCGCGCCCGCCCGGACCGCAGCGCCCGCAGGGGTACGCAGACATGGACAGGATAGGGGTGTCGTTCCTGGACCCTCTGAATGACTATGAGCTGATCCACCGTATCGGCTGCGGCACTTATGGAGATGTTTTCAAGGTGAGTGGCCATGATTTTCACCCCAGTCAGTGCGATGCGGGACAAAAGACAGAGCTCCGGGGGACGTGTTAGTTCATGAACAAATATTCTCCCTTCGCACCCACTCCACTTCACTAAACTTCACTGTTGGAGACGCTTTTGCGTTGTTGCCAAAACCTGGATGAGCAAAAACAATTACATGAAATTAAATTAGACTGATTGTGATTTAATTAACCTTTAAAAGAACCTGAGCCTGTTGCATCACTAGAACATACAGAGAGGCTGCTCTTGAGGATTTCATGTCAGGATGCAAACATCCTGTGTGCATCCATTCCTGCAGAACAATTGCATTGTTTTTTTCTCTAAAACTTCCTCGTTAACTCTGCTCTAATTTATGGGCCATGGGTCACAATTTGACCCTCCATCATGTTTTTATAATTTACCACTCAGTCCCTCAAGATCATTGGGCTGCACTTTGATCATAATTCTCATAATAATTTATTCAAACATAACATTTTCATCTTCATCACCACCTTCATCACATTTACATGTTGTCACAGTAACAGTGAAGCACTTGACTTCTGTGCAGATTGTGATGATGGACTTTAGGAGCAGTCTGTAAATGTTGATCAGGCCATATAGCATGTTACAATTGAATTATGATCATCACAAAAAGATCAAACCTATTACTAAAATAATGTAAAAATAAATACGATAGATAGATATGTGTAGGTCTTACAGATATCCCACGGATACATTCATCAAATTCTACTTTGAATTCAGTCATGGTCATTTCTGTCCCTGCCCTGTTAGTATAGTGAGATTACCTGGTGGCTGAAATAGCTTTTTTGGTACTATTTGATGAAATATAACACATTTTTACGTGTACAAAACTATCATCTTCACTCTATTCTTGCAAATGCACACCCAGCATTAGTCATAAAAAGTACAATTGTTGCTGTTAAACAATAGGTGTAACATTAGATTCAAGGGGAAAGCAGTGTTACTTCTCAGACAATTGCACATTGACGTCCCACTGGTGCTGTGGTGATGGACATGTGACTGAGTGGGCTCACAGTGGAGACCCCTCGTGATGAAGAGGCTGAGGGCTTCACTCAGAGCCTACTTGTGATGAATGACATACGTGTTTCCCAGCCTGCCCTTACACAGACGTACACGCGTTACACTACTATTGAGGTTAACCGTTCTTATGTTGACGTGTATTTGATAAAAAATTACATTCACTGTGCTGAATATGACTGTATTAACTTTAGCTCTTGATTGCATATTTTATTTCGATGTATTGGGTATATTTACATGGCTAGTAGAAATCGGATAACTAATAATCAGATAACGAAGACAGGATTTTGGTGTGTGTTTATATACAAAACAAATCTGATCATCAAAAACACTCTCATGTGTCAGACAATACATGGATTTTGTAGTAACTGTTGTATTTGGAAGACAAAATACAATTCAGTCTTTAATAGTAAGATAGTAATAATAAGATAATGGTCAGATTTTTGGTGTACATGCAAACATAGCCACTGTAATCATGTGTCTGGACGGCTACATCTTGCTGTAAATCTTGATTCACCTGTGTGGTCATAGTGACTTAAATCTCTGCTTAAATCTCTGGTGAAAAGATGAGCACCTGGTCCTGGTTCAACACACGAAAAAAGAAATAATCTGATGAAGGTTTTTTGCCAAAACGTAATCTCAACATAAAAACTTTTGGATATCAGCCAACTGAGTGTGCAATGCAGGTTTTTTTTTTTTTTGCTGCTCCTTGCATTTGCACCTCTGCAAAGACATTGGTGTGCATTTTCTGTTTGATTTGAGATGTTTTCTTTACCGCAGTTGTAGGTGCCATATAGCTCACTTCTTCCTTTTTTTGTTTCTGTATGAATTTTACCAGTAGGCCTATGTGTTTCAGTTCTTGATTTATTATTTTTAAGAGACCCTGAGTAAAATGTGAAAGCCAGGGTTGTTTTTTACAGTCTGCAAAGGCCTTTTGAAGTGAAGTTTTCAGTAGAGAATATTTCAATATTTTGGAAAAGCGATTTAAACGGTAAAACTGCAAATATTAAGTTAAGCATAGATTGTTTACCTAACTAACATCAATTAGCTATCAGTTACAACATAAATTTTGTTTCCTTTTGTGATGCAAATCTTATTTTTTCACTCAAGTATGGGATAGGCAGGCATTTTAGTCTACTCCAGTTAGGCTTAGACAAACTTTATTGATTCACAAAGAAATTATTTGGATACAGTAGCTCACACATCACAATATAAGATAATAACAAAGAGCAAAAATATAAATTGTAATAATAAATTCTTAAAAAGTAACAAAAATAGCAAGAGACAGGTGTCAGTGATGTCGATGTCAGTCAAGTGAGACTTTCCGTATTGTTCCTCATTTTCGACTAACTTACATTTTTGTAAACTTTGCTTGAACCATTGTCTGCTAATTCTACTTAACCAAAATTGCTGTCTGCATTGTGTAAAAGTTAGGTTTTTATATTCCTTCTTTATGCTCACAGATTGATTCAACTCATTCAGAATTTAGTTATCCGATATGGCGTAAACATGGGTATTGTACTTTAACCAAGAGTCCATTTTGGGCATATGATCAAAGTACAGTAAAACTTCCTTCCCCTGTTACACATATATATGACCCCGTGTTATTTCAGGCTCCGCTACATGCAGAACCCATTGGAGACATGACTATCAGGGTTGTCACAGGAAGCTCAGTGCAGGGACAGGAAAGAAAACAGGAAGTAAATGCAGCTAAGCAGATTGTTTTGAGGTGAGCGTTGCTTCTGATTGGTCGCCGTTTTGTTTGTTGTGGACATGTGACGTCAGACACCCCGGTGAATGGGGATGACTGATGTTAACAGGATGAAGGTAGGAAGTAACCAACTGTAAAAGCGTGAAATTAGAGTTCCCTGATTTTCGGGAGTAGTTTAGATAAATAAAAATGCATCTATTTCCGAGTCCCACAGAGCACACCCTTCCCTTTGTGAATGTTTTTAATAAATCTAATGTATAAAAATGTTGCTTTATTCCTTTAATGATGTTTCCTGGCATCTGTTTTCATTAGAGAAAAGTCTGGTGTAGCATTTGTCTGTGTTGTGAATCACACCAAGGTTAAACGTAAGGGAAGACACTGTCTTAACCTAATAATAGATCCCTATTGTCAAGAGATTGGAGTTGGAAATAGGCCCAGGTTTGTTTTTTTATCTTGATGGAGGATCTGTGGCAGAACTCCAAGAAGGTTTTTCATCAGACTAGACGAGACTAGTCAGCAAAAAGAGCAAATTGGAGTCCATAAAATAAATGGCAAGTGCTAAATTATCTTGATAACACATTTTAACATGTCATAAACGTTCTATATTACACAAAATTGACTCTTGTGAACTTTAAGCCATAATATAATGCTATTACCTTGTCAAAAACATACCCAGAGCTGCGTTTTGTTTCATGAGTAAACATTTATTATTAGTCTGTCTACATCTCCAAAACTCAAAATGCTCTGTTCCACCTTGTGATGTCATGTAGTGGTAGTTTTCATGTTAACAGCTACCATTTACGTTTAGTTCAGTAGAGATAGGCAATTCCAGGGCTGAAATGATCCAGCTGATTCTAGTGAAGATGTATGGAGTTTAAAAACACAGTGAAGCACGTCCTGTCTTACCACATGATATCACAATGTGGGACAGAGCGTTTTCCATTATAGAGAAGAACACAGCTAGCCTGATTCATCAGCCGGTTTCACTTCGTAGGAAGAAGGGCAATAACGTCTTTCCCCTTGATAAAATTTACCAAACATTCTCTTTGTTCCGACTTTAAATCCTCGATCTCAGGAATCGTTGCCAACACAGAACATATGGCTCTTCGCTGATTGGCTGGTGCCCAAACTTGCACTTCCGGGGTTTTTACGAATCGTCTAGTGTATTCTGATTCCTGACCTAGTCGTTGGAGAGAAATGAAATTGGCCACCCTGGCTACTGGTAGGGACCAGTCTCAAATACAAAGTTGAAAAAACTGAGGCGCTCAAAAAGTCAAAATAATAAAAAGCCTTTAATACAACATGGCAGATAAAGTTCAAATCACGCCAAAGTGTTTCGGCTCTTTGGCCTTCATCAGGGCAAACTCGAGATGGCCGTCACAGTGCAGATTTAAAGTCACAGGTGTAGGTCAGATTTTCACAATGGGCTTGCCTACAGTCCCCTGGTGCATGATGGGACATGTAGGCTGAACAGATTTTAGTTACAAGCTATTTAAGATCAGATAAAATGCAAGATACAAGATATAAATAGTAAAATTCCCAACAACCAATGCATAAAAAAAATATCATAAAATTATATATAGTGCAAAAAATGCTACAGATAGAACATGTATAATTTGTATAATATATTAGAGGACTAGTCTTAACAACTCCAGGTCTGTTTGTGATGAGGAAATAACATTTCATAGAAAGCTTCGTGATATGGCTCCTTTAAGAAGGTCGAGAATTTCTGAATACTGTTTTTTCATCACTGGAATATTGCTCTTGAATTGATAAATAAAACCTATGTATTGAAATTTTACATTCTTTTCTTTTCTTCAAGGCTCGTAACATCAGGACATCTGAACTGGCGGCGATCAAGATTGTCAAACTGGACCCAGGTATGCGAACAGTCAACTAACAAACACCAACAACTACTATTTTCTAAAACATATGTCCCACTCTGCTAGTCTAGACCCTGTAATGAATAACCTTTAGAGAAATTCCTTAGATGCAAAAGACATTTTAGAAGAAATATTGTGCAGAACATAAACATATAGACCTAATCGTGATTTATTGAGGTAAAATGTATTTGTCTTCATTTTACTCTGTTAACTTAAAAAGGTGCATTGTGTCTTTGTCTGGAACGTTTCACAGTATGGTGTTAAACCTTTTTATCTTAGCGGAGACCAAACCAAACCAAGTTACAGGTCAGATCTGTGGAGAGGCGACCCCGCTCACAGTTAGAATGCTTGATTTTCTAGGGATTTTTGAGCTATAAAACCATCTGTAACTGAATAAATGTAAAGGCAGAGCTGTTTAATGTCATACTGTGGAACATTCCAGGTAGAGCAATGACAAACAGGTGATGGACTTCCAACTACAAAAAGTTACATAATGCACATTTAACCTGTGTGTTTAGGGGATGACATCACGTCGATCCAGCAGGAAATCACCATGATGAAGGAGTGCAAACACAAAAACATTGTGGCCTATTTTGGCAGCTACCACAGGTGTGTAAAGTCTAATGGAGAAATAAAATACTTAAAATCATGATACATAATGTAATTCTGAAAGGAAAAAGCTCTGAAATTGTTGCCCAAACATCTGGAATAGAAATGTGGAGTTGAGCCTACGCTGTCTCATTCCTCTCCCACTTTACATAATTGGTGTATAGTCTAGTAATATCTCATGCTGTGTTTTGCTGAATCTGTTTGTTTTATGTCAACACTAAAATTGTTTTGTTTCTCCTTAAGGAACACAAAATTGTGGATCTGCATGGAGTACTGCGGAGGAGGATCCCTACAAGATATTTACCACTGTACATGAACACTACTATTACTCCTCATTACTTTGAACATGCTCAGTGTAGTGAAATATTACTTTAAAGGGCCCATGTTGAGCCATTTTCTGATTTATGTTATAATGTTCCCCCATCAAAAACACACCTGGAGTTGTGTTTTGTTTAATTTACGCAACACAAACCCTGCATATTTAAGCCAAGTTCACTCAAATCATTTCCACGATTTCAGCACTAAAATGGTAACCTGATTAATCAGCCGGTTTCGCTTTGTGGAAACCGTCTGACCTCGCAGCATTAGGATTCGTTCCCTTTTTCGGTAGGCGGGTACTTTTTTTATTTAACCAATCGCTGCTATTTGATCGTGACGTATGTAATGCACCAAATCCCGTAGGAAGAAGGGCAATAACGTCTTTCCCCTTGATAAAATTCAAATACTTAAATCCTCGGTTAAATACTCAATTAAATCCTTGATCTCAGAATCGTTGCCAACATCGAATGTATGTCGTCTACATCCATCTCGACCGCTATGTTTACTGTTGTGCTGTACCACAAAACAGACCCAGACATGCACTTGAGTTTGACGTCATGGCTTCACAGCTCTTCGCTGATTGGCTGGTGCGGTCTACAACTTTCAGTGTTCTTGCAAACGTCTAGTGTATTCTGATTCTTGACCTAGTCGCTGGAGAGAAATTAAATT